ATATGCGAGGTATGCATGCTTAAATGTATACATTAGCTTCTCTTGGTTCAAATGTCCCAAATAAGGACATGATAGCTAGGAATGAGGTTTGTGATGAAACTCTGAAGACAGTTCAGCATTCTTCGCAAAAGTCTATTCCTAATATGTCCATGTTTTTCTGTACATGTGGCCATTTTATATAAACACATGTTCTTGGCCAAAGATCCTACGTGTATGTTATTCATATCCTCATTGGTTAAGAGGGTGAAACTCCCCTCGACATATGCCTATATAATATCTGTATTTCTATGAATAAATTGAAGTATTGAGGATACATTTGACTGTGTGTTTTCTTACTTCCCGGCCGTCTACACTTTAAAGTAACTGAGAATTCTTCAAGGTGGCAAAGAGAATTTACTGAGGGACCAAATTGTTATTCTTTATTAACACATGTTAACACATATAAGTCTTAACTCTACACTTTTGAAAATGTTTTTTGACATTTATTCCAGCGCGATGACTTCTTCCACAGACATGCATTGTAAGCAATCCTTAACATTTTGCACCCCAAAATGAGGTGCTTTGACTGCAGGTATTTGTGCCCCAAGCTTAATATATGGTCTCTCTCACGCATGTCGCACATTCAAAAGCAAAGATTATAGAATAAATCAGCCAATTAAACCAGAATGCCATTGATTCTTTCATTCATATCCTCAGGTCCCTCATCTATTGTTAAATATTTAAGAGGATTTTATTGTGAACCACAGAATGAGGGACCTGAATCCCCCTCTTTCAGCTTTGTGGATTCCTCTCTCTCTCTCCCTCTCTGTTCCTCCTCTCGCCTTGTTTCCTTTCTCTGTTGTTCATTCCAGCTTCTTCTGTCCTCATGGCAGAGCTCAACACCCATATGAACTGTTTTGACATTTCTCTGCTTTCCTTAGCAGATTCTCTCCACTGGTACATTTTTATCTCTACAGTTTGCTGACATAGGCTGAGTGCGGTCTGCTGAAGTTTACTCAGTTGGCATAATCTTTCAGCTTTCAGACGCACACTTAAACAAGTGATATCACCCAACTTATTTTTCTTATTTCATACCACAGTCAGCAACACAAGAAACACAAAGACTACATTAGTATGTGCCACTATTCAGACTTCAGCAGAGAAACATCATGTTTACTACATTAAACCATCTATGAATACATTTTGAGCCATGTTTTTCAGTATAGCTGTATTTTTTTCTACAGAAAGTGCTGATGAGGCCATCCTGGTGGAACATACTGGGCATCTCGTAAATCACAGGATTTAACTCTCTAAGGGTAAAGTTAACCAGGACTAGTATGAGTAGGCTATATAACTGTATAAAATTCTACCACCTAGAGGACCTGCATGCAATTTACAACAACTAACCCTAAGTATGCACCATGGTGCCAGATGCCGAAACATTAGTGAAGCATGTTAATGTGATAAACTACACTTATGGGAGGTACTTGGAGATCTTTAATTAGTCTAGTTACTTATGTTGTTACTGTATAACAGTGACCAGCTATGGGTAATGCCTCCTGCATGACCTTTGTCTGAAGCACGTCAAAACAATACAATATTTTTGTCCAACAAAAGTCTGTGACGTCACTACTGGCACGACCCTGAGTACAAATGGATGCCAGTACTCATCATCCTCTTGTGTGTCTTCAGGACCTGTTTGTTTGCAACGTGCCTCTAAAGAAAGTCATTATAACATGTACGTTGGACACAACTGGGGCACCATTGTGCAGCAGCAAGCATCACAACAAAGTAAAAAAAAGAGAACTAGGTAAATGTGTGTGAATGTATAGGGCACCATTCCTATATTTTGCCTGGGGACCCCAAATCACTAAATCCACCCCTGACTATAATGAATGCATTCGAAGACGTGAAATATTATTTCCAAGCTACTGTCCTTACGAGTATATGACATATGGTATGATATCGGCTAATAATCCCATATATTCAAATCAGTCGTAGTTATAACTATTTGTCGCCAAGACCACATTATTAAAAAGAGACTTCAGACACTAGGCCTGAATACTTTTACTTTTACTTTTAGTCATTTAGACTTACAAATAAGAAAAAGTAATTAAAACTAAAAGCTAAAACTCTATAAATACTATATATATACACATTTAAGAAAATAAAAGAAATTAAATAAAAATGACAAATGTTTACAACAACATTTCAAAACTAACCATTTAAATGAAAACAAAAAAATTAAGCTAAAAACAATTCAAAATATTAAAAGAACAAATGGTATGAGTATAATAATGATTCTAACATAACACTAAGCCAAACACCAAAAAAACAACTACATGTGTGTATGTACAGCCACACACACATACATATACATGTTCATATATATAAATGCATTCAATATATATATATATATATATATATATATTATTTCATTTCCATTTTGTATGTTGAAGTACTGAAATAACTCAAAATAAATAAAACTAAAACTAAATAAAAAGCCTATACAGACATAATAAAAAACTAATAAAATAACAACATTACTACAACTGTAACTAAAACTAAAATAGATAACTAATACAAATCAAACTACATTAGTTTATCAGTAATCCTAAAAACACACATGCTAAAATAACAACAACTTACTGACACATAGTAAGTGGTTATAAA